TTTTTTTTAACGTTTACTTCTTTTTGAGAGAGAGAGCGTGAGCCGGGGAGGGACGGAGAGAGAGAGAGGGAGACACAGAATCCAAAGCAGGCTCCAGGCTCCGAGCTGGCAGCCCAGAGCCCGACGTGGGGCTCCAACTCACGGACCGTGAGATCATGACCTGAGCCGAAGTCTGATGCTTAACTGAGCCACCCAGGCGCCCCTACACTTTGAATTTTGAAGTAGAAATGTTCAATTAGCATAAAATTCTACTTAGTGTCATCACTGGCTAAAGTGACCAACCCTTTAATATCGCTCAGATCACAGGCTAAATTTAAATTTTTTTTTTCGACGTTTATTTATTTTGGGGACAGAGAGAGACACAGCATGAACGGGGGAGGGGCAGAGAGAGAGGGAGACACAGAATCGGAAACAGGCTCCAGGCTCTGAGCCATCAGCCCAGAGCCCGACGCGGGGCTCGAACTCACGGACCGCGAGATCGTGACCTGGCTGAAGTCGGATGCTTAACCGACTGCGCCACCCAGGCACCCCTAGGCTAAATTTAAACATGGTCTTCTCCATTCAGAAACTCTGGCAACGTAATGGGCACGTATATTTTGCTGTTTTCTGAGTGGATACAGTTTTTCTTATAAGATGTTCAATGTACAAATTTCAGAAAATATCAAAAAGTTAGAAATGTAAGAAGAGGTTCTTGTCGGTGCCCCTGTGTCCTCCACACGGCACCTGCCAAAGGTCTCCTGGAACAAGTGTCTTTCTCTGGTCCGGCCAGGGGCAGGGAGGAGAGCCACGGGCGGAGAGCTGGTACTCCTGGGAGCATTAAAATCCTTGACTTAAGGTTTGCTTCTGGAAGAATTCAACGTAACACGGCAGTTAAAAAATAAATAAAAATCCTAGGAAGAATAACAGAGCAATTATTTAGAAGTAACCAGTATAGAAAACTCTTCCTCTTTCTAACCCAAATTTGGTTGTCTCCTTGTTCAGCACAGAACTCTTTCTTACGTGCGCACGCGCGCACACACACACACACACACACACACACACACACATTTTTGGGGGGAAATGGGGGGATCACATTCCACTGTTTAGTTTCCCTGAAGTCCTTGCTGTGCCGGGAGGGCTGTGAAGGTGACAGCTCGTGGGGATGGCAGAAGCAGAGGACAGTGTCCCCGGAGACCAGCAGGTCGCAGGCAGGTGGCCTCGCTCTATGGTTCTGGGGCTGCTTCTTGCCCTGCCATCCCCCAAACCAGCAACCCCATCTTGCTACTCACCCGCCCCTCGGCCCTTTCTCCTGGGCACACCTTTCCACGCAGCTAGCCCCAGCCACACACGACCTCTGTGTTCTGACACGGACCTTCCTCCTCTCAGTCAGGATTCCCTGGCACCCTCTCTAGGCGCCTTCCTCCTGGTGGTCGAGCCTCCATGGTGGCCCGTGCCTGGTGTTCACGGTTTTATCCGAAGAAGAGGACCGGGGTCACTTGTTTGATTTCCAGGGCCTGGCATAAAGGTCTTTGGAAAACAGCTATCTGTCGGTTGCTTAGTATATGTGCGGCCAAAGCGAGCACTCTGTCGGTTGCTTAAAGTGGAGGTTTTACAATAGCAGAGTTGGGGGCCCTGGTCTAGTCGTTTGGGTTTTGAGGTTCGTATAGGACATTGTGGGCTCACTTTGGTTATTTTAATTATTCACACTGCAACATACTCAGTTCTTTGGAGAATCTTATTTAAAAACATTTTTTTTTAATGTTTATTTATTTTTGAGGGAGAGAGAGAGTGGGGGACAGGGGAGAGAGAGTGGGGACAGAGGATCCGAAGCAGGCTTTACACCGATAGCAGGGAGCCTGATGCTGGGCTCGAACTCACGAACTGCGAGATCATGACCTGAGCCCAAGTCGGACACTTAACCGACTGAGCCACCCAGGAGCCCCTCTTTGGGGAATTTTAATGGGTTCTTTAAAAATTGTTTGTAGGTCTTGTACTCAAGTCTTTTTTTAAGTTTATTTACTTTGAGAGAGTGTGAGTGAGCCGGGGAGGGGCAGAGAGAGAGGGGGAGAAAGAATCCCAAGGAGGCTCTGTGCTGTCAGTGCAGAGCCTGATGTGGGGCTCCGTCCCATGAACCATGAGATCATGACCTGAACCGAAATCAAGTCAGACACTTTTCAGAAAAAGCATTTGACAAAATATAGCATCCTTTCTTGATAAAAATCCTCAAGAAAGTAGGGGTAGAATGAATATACCTCAAGATCATAAAGGCCATATATGAAAAGCCCACAGCTAATATCATCCCCAATGAGGAAAAACTGAGAACTTTCCCCCTAAGGTCAGGAACATGACAAGGATGTACATTCTCACCATTGTTACTCATCATAGTGCTGGAAGTCCTAGCCTCAGCAATCAGACAACACAAAGAAATAAAAGGCATCCAAATTGTCAAAGAAGAAGTCATGCTTTCACTCTTCACAGATGACATGATACTCTACGTGGAAAACCCAAAAGATTCCACCAAAACGCTGCTGGACTGATCCATGAACTCAGCAAATTTGCAGGATATAAAATCAATGTACAGAAATCGGCTGCATTTCTATACATCAATAATGAAGGAGAGCAGAAAGGGAATCAAGGAATCGATCCCATTTACAACTGCACCAAAACCCATAAAATACTTAGGAATAAACCTAACCAAAGACGTGAAAGATCTATACACCGAAAACTATGGAAAGCTTATGCAAGGAGTTGAAGAAGACACAAAGAAATGGAAAAATATTCCATGCTCATGGGTCGGAAGAACAAATATTGTTAAAATGTCGATACTACCCAAAGCAATCTACATATTCAATGCAATCCCTATCAAAATAGCACCACCGTTCTTCACAGAGCTAGAACAAACAATCCTAAAATTTGTATGGAACCAGAAAAGACCCCGAGTAGCCAGAGTGATCTTGATAAATAAAACCAAAGTGGGAGGAACCACAATCCCGGACTTTAAGTTGTATCACAAAGCTGTAATCATCAAGACAGTAAGGTACTGGCACAAGAACAGACACTCAGATTAATGGAACAGAAATACAAAACCCAGAAATGGACCCCCAGACGTATGGCCAACTAATCTTTGACAAAGCAGGGAAGAGTATCCATTGGAATAAACACAGTCACTTCAGCAAGTGGTGCTGGGAAAACTGAACAGCGACATGCAGAAGAATGGACCTGGACCACTTTCTTACACCAGACACAAAAATAAACTCAAAATGGATGAAAGACCTAAATGTACGACAGGAAGCCATCAAAATCCTTGAGGAGGAAGCAGGCAATAACCTCTTTGATCTTGGCCGCGGCAACTTCTTACTCAACACGTCTCCGGAGGCAAGGGAAACAAAAGCAAAAATGAACTATTGGGACCTCATCAAAATAAAAAGCTTCTGCACAGCAAAGGAAACAATCAGCAAAACTAAAAGGCAACTGATGGAATGGGAGAAGATATTTTGCAAATGACATATCAGATAAGGGGTTGATATCCAAAATCTATAAAGAACTTATCAAACTCAACACCCAAAAAACAAATAATCCAGTGAAGAAATGGGCAGAAGACATGAATAGACACTTCTCCAAAAGACATCCAGATGGCCAACTGACGCATGAAAAAATGCTCAACATCACTCATCATCAGGGAAATACACATCAAAGCCACAATGAGATACCACCTCACACCGGTCAGAATGGCTAACATTGACAACTCAGGCAACAACAGATGTTGGCAAGGATGTGGAGAAAGAGGAGCCCTTTTGCCCTGCTGGTGGGAATGCAAGCCTGTGCAGCCGCTCTGGAAAACAGTGTGGAGGTGCCCCAAAAAGTTAAAAATAGAACTACCCTACGGCCCAGCAATTACACTACTAGGTATTTATCCAAAGGATACAAAAATGCTGATTTGAAGGGGCACATGCACCCCAATGTTTATAGCAGTCCTATCGACAATAGCCAAATTATGGAAAGAGCCCAAATGTCCATCAACTGATGAATGGATAAAGAAGATGTGGTGTGTATATACAATGGAATAGTACTTGGCGATGAGAAAGAATGAAATGTTGCCATTTGCAACTACATGGAAGGAGTTGGAGGGTATTATGCTAAGCGAAATAAGTCAAAGACAAGTATCATGTGATTTCATTCCTATGTGGAATTTAAGATACAAAAAAGATGAACCCAAGGTAAGAAAAAATAATATAAAAACAGAGAGGGACAAACCATAAGAGACTCTTGAATACAGAAAACAAACTGAGGGCTCCTGGCAGGGTGTTGGGTGGGGGGATGGGCTAGATGGAGGATGGGCATTAAGGAGGGCACTTGTTGGGATGAGCACTGGGTGTTATATGTAAGTGATGACTCACTAAATTCTATATATAATAATACACATAGTATTAATTTTACACTATATGTTAACTAACTTGGATTTAAATAACAACAACAAAAAAAGAGTCAGACGCTTAACCGAATGAACCACCCAGGAGCCCCTGTTGGTCTTGTACTAAAGTCTTGTACTAACAATATTTAGGACACAATGAGCTTGCATAGAACTTAATATTTCTGAGTTAAAAAGAATGGCTAACACTTACTGCACGTTTGCCATGGATCAGGCCCTATTCTGAACTTTTTAAAAATATCAACTCATGAGTTTCGCCCCGGATCCCAGCAGCCGCTGTGCAAGTGGAAGGGGGTGGCCGACTGGGCTGCCTGGCTTTGCTGGGCGGGGAGGCAGGCGGTTTCCTCATGCAGGAGAGGAAGGTGCTGATGGGTCTATCCTCTGACCCAAGTGCATCAAATAAGCACAAGTGTTTCTGTTCTTGCCGGTAGAAAGGGCCCCTTCAAAAACACTTGCTGTTTCATTCACCCTGAGCGCTGTTGCTATGAAGCATCTTTCTTATGTAGTGTCTGTAACATTCGGTAAACTGTATTTCGGGGGGGAGGGGGCGGGGGATGGAGACAAAGAAATAGTAACTACAGTAGAAAACCAATGTCTCTCACCTGACAAGCAATTTTATTGGAGGTCGGATCACACAGTGCGGGAGAAGTGGGAATAGCGTAGACACAATAATTTTCTTATTAGCACAAAGTAAATCTTTAGCAATAGTCAGACGGGGCCTACACACTAGCTTTTAAATTAGCTGTGTTTTAAATAGCATGGTTTAAAAATACACAACAATAAATCAGGGGGCCATTGTAAATCAAGGTCGCGCATTACCGAACCTTGCGTCTCCTTTGTGAAATGCGTGATTAATCTTTCCGTTGCCGGGAAAATGATTCTTCCTGTTTGGGGGATGGCGTGTGGGTCCCAGAGGCCCCTCGCTTTGGGGACTCACTTTGAGGCCCTGCATTCCCGGGGCCATTTTTACCGGATTTCAAGGGAGAGCAGCTACCCCGAGACACAACTTCTTCTGCCTTCTCTCCGGTCCATCGGCACGAGCAGATTTTCGCCGTGATAAAGGCATTTTTCTGATCACAGACTCTGTACCGCCTCTAGAATGTTGTCAAGTTGAACCCCAACAACTCGAGAGGAACCATCTCCAGCGTCTACCGGGGGAGGAGAAAGAAGACGGCCGATCTGTGGTTGGTGCCGACTAGTAGTTCCGTCAGAAGTTTATCCTAGAAAATGAAGCAAGGCTCATATCTCACTGGTCAACTGATTTTCCCAAGAAAATAAATAGAAAACAAATTCTTTTATTCGAGTAAATGGTATATTTAATACTGGCATTACCGGAATGCTTTCGTCTTCAGTGAGTGAGCGTTCACTTGTACTTTACAGAGCAGCTGGTTGGGAATATTGTAGAACTTTTTACAGCCTTTATTGATCTGTTTCTGGCGTGTGAATCCCTAGACAGGAACTGTCTCTGGGCGAGATTTTATGACCTTAGTATAGATCCAAAGCTTTTAATGCACCTTTTGCCTTTATCATAATGTCACTGAGAAAATCGGAGTGGGCTGGATTGGCCTTCTGACATAAAAGTCCATGTTTAATTATGTGGCGATGGCTCTGTTTTACACAGCCCCCACATGTAAAGATTTTAGAATCCTTCCTGGCCTATGTGGTCACGTGGCCTCTGAAATTAAATAAACAGGAGACGCTCTTCTGGGTTGATAACGTAGAGCTACCGCTGTGTCCCCAGCAAGCCTCAGGAGACAACTGAATCCATTGGTTGGCTATTAAGAGAAACAGCAAAATATCCAGCCAACATCAAAACAGTCGTTCTTATCAAACTAACTCTGGCATCTGATTTGATAATACTAAACAAGTTTACTGAACAGACTAGCTCATTTGGTCATTTGGTGGACCCGCTGGTACACCTTTCCAGAAGACTTACTGAGTTCTTTTGCGACAGAAGAGATGTCCTTAAAATATTCTTTAACAAAGCCTTAAATGCGGTAGGAAATACAAGGCTGAATGCTGGGCTCCATTCTGTTGCTCGGTGACCGTCACCTGGCACTCCACTTAACGGGATGGAATGATGGCACCGTTCCTGGTACTTGTTGGATATTCAAAGAAACCTCCAGTCGCTTTTTTGAAAAACAGTTTGGTAGCTCAACAATCCTACTCCATGGGAAGTAGGCTGTGCTTCCATGGCTGTGCTTCACGAGGACAGCGACATAAATCAGGGCTTTTAACATTTACAGCCCAACTTTGGTCTTGCTGTCTGAATACCGATACTTGGTTTGCTGGCATCTAAAACACACGAATCTCAGGGCGCTTGGGTGGCTCAGTCGGTTGAGCGCTGGGCTTAGGTCACGATCTCACGGTTGGTTGTTTTGGGTCCCGTGTCCGGCTCTGTGCTGACAGCTCGGAGCCCGGATCCTGCTTCGGATTCTGTGTCTCCCTCTCTTTCTGCCCCTCCCCCGCTCACGCTCTGTTCATCTCTCTCTCAAAGGGAAATAAATATTAAAAAAAAAAAACCCGAAAAACACATATATATGTGCATACATAACACATGTGTGTTGATGTGTCTACAAACACACTGTACTTTTTTCATTTTTTATTTTTATTTATTTATTTATTAGAGAAAGAGAGAGAGAGAGAGAGAGAGAGAGAGAGAGAGAGAAAGGTGAGGGGAAGAGGACGAGAAAGAGAGAATCCCAAGCAGGCTCCACGCTCGGCACGGAACCCAACACAGGGCCTGATCCCATGACCCTGGGACCATGACCTGAGCCGAAATCAAGAGTCAGTCACTCAATCGACTGAGCCACCCAGGCGCCCCACACTGTGTGTATTTTTAATTGAACTGGGACCATAGGTACATATGGCTTTTTCCTTCCCTTTTTCCTGTTTCTCTTCCTCTTTCTCATTCATATTTCTGGTTTCCTGGAAATGTCCAATCCTTCTCTGTTGACCCTCAAGCTAGGAAAAAGGCGACACAGTGTGTTGAGAGAGGGCGTTGTATCTCTGTTGGGGCTCATCCTTGTCAGGCTTCGCTTCGGGGTGGGCAGGCGGGGGATCCAGTGGTGGCAGAAGGGTTTGCTGGTTGCTTTGGAAACGTTTCATTTCTCTAGAGAAGAGCCCTCACTAGGAGCCAGGTCCCCGCGCTGTGCATGACGGGGTGTGGCGGTGACGCCATCATACTCCCATCTGAAGGCAGCATTTCTGAGCTCTGGACCTCTCCCTGGTCCTATGCCTGAACTGTATACTACCCCTTCCGCTTCTAGTTCCTTGTGTTATTTATTTATGAAAAAAAATTTTTTTTCAGGATTCCTTTCCGGCACTAAATCCTGGCCTTTGTTTTTCTTGGAGATTTACTGCTGCCCATAATCTGACATAATGTCAAGGAAAAAAAAAAAAAAAAAATATATATATATATATATATATATATATATATATATATATATATATAATGGAAGGAGGGCCTTTAATGACCTGGTTTGAATTACCCCCAAACTTTACTTCTCTTTTCTTTTTTATTCTCAGGAGAGACAATTCATTCGTTGATTCATTATTGACTACTCAGTATTCCAGGTTGAACTGTGTCCCCCGAAAGGCTGTGTTGAAGTCTTAAACCGAGCATCTGTGATTGGAAATAGGGTCTCCCCATGTCATCAAGTTAAGATGAGGTCGTCCTCAGTGGGGATGGGCCTTGATCCAATATGACTGGTGTCCTTGTGAGGACAGACAGACGCAGACACACGGGAAGACGGCCCCATGCAGACGGAGTTTACAAGTGAAGGGACGCCAAGGGGCATCCGTATCCTCCTGGAGCTACTGGAGAGATGTGGGAGTTTCTTTTCTAGAGTCTTCCGAGGGAGCGCAGCCCTACTGAAATTTTTATTTCAGACGTCCGGCCGCCAGAACTGTGAGAGAATGTGTTTCTACAGTTCTAAGCCCCCCCTCCCCCATGCAGTACTTTGTCCCGGCAGCCCCAGGACACTCACACCTCCTGTGCGCCAGTAGGGATGGAGGTCCAACGGGGGACAGACCTGACTTCCCTGTGTGTCACCGTGCAGATTCCACCCCCCCCCCCCACCTTAGCACTGTGCCCGGGGCCCCAGCTCCAGGCTCCGCTTGGGGTGGGTGATGTGGGGCAACCGTGGGGTGGGGGGGTGGGGGGGTGCTTGACCGAGCCGCCCTAAGCGGAGGGTCAGTGGCTGTTGTCCTCTCTCACATCCCTGTCCCCCGGGCTGGGTCAGTGCCCTCAGGTGCTGCCTCACCCCAGGCTTCCCTACCTCCTTCCCAGTCTTGGGAAATGGCCCTTTTACTAAACTCTCCTCAAAGAACCCAGTTCAAGGTTCCCTTTTGTTTCCTGCTTGGGCTCTGACTCATCCTCCCGCCCTTATGGAATTCACCTTTTAGGGAAGAGATGAAAATCAAGATAAATAAAGTACATTGTATGTCAGTGACAAGCCCTGGGGCAAAAATCAAAGCGTAGAAGGGGCAGCCCCCCCCCCCCCCCCGTGGGGGGGGGGACTTTTAGCTTGCGGCCAGAGGAGGCCTCCGGAGAAGGCGTTTGGTCTCGACCCTTCTCTCTCTTCCAGATCTCCCCGAAGGAAGTGCTGCCTCAGGAACTTCGGTCTGGGAAAGGCCTGCGTGTTGGAGAGAGGCCAGGAGGCTGGAGGGGCTGCGTGGAATGAGCAGAAGTTGAGGCCAGTGAGATACGGTGGTTCTACCACATTCTTTCTGAGGTCGCCAAGTATTGCATTCTAAGGTTGTATCATATATGTGTTTTTAAAAATGTTTCTTTACTTCTGAGAGAGACAAGGCAAGCGAGTGCAGGCGGGGAAGGGACAGAGAGGGGAGACAGAGGGTGGGCTCTGTGTTGACAGCAGAGAGCCCGACGCGGGGCTCGAACCCACGAACCGCGAGATCATGACCTGAGCCCGAGTCGGAGGCTTAACCGACTGAGCCACCCAGGCGCCCCGTATCGTGTGTGTTTGTAACTGGCCCTCTGTCCCGCGTGTGGTGGCTTCCGTGAGGGTTCTGACCACCTCCCTCCTCACTCGCTGGCCACACTTCTGCCGTCGGTGACAAACGCTGGGCTTATCCCTGAGGTCAGTGTCTCCGCGGCTCAGTCTCTCCAAGCCCTATGATACAAACCCGTCATGAGGAGTCCTCAGTTGGTTTACTGCAAGGCCTTTTTGAGCCATAGGTTAATATATTAATGAAGACTGTGGCTGTTACCCCGCATTAAATAATGGCTGTGAATGATCGGAAGAAAAACATCTCCGTTGTCCCGCAGAGTGCCAGATGGATTACTCTGCCAAGAGGACTCAAAAATATGACAACCTTTTATTCCTCTGCAGCCCGGACGCGTGCGGATTCATTTCTACGCTATTGCAGAAAAACGCCTCACGACGATTCTGAGCGAAAAACACATTAAATCATCCCGTTAATTACATCGAAACGGCACACTGAGATTTTGTTGCTAATCCAGCTTAAACTTGGCATCGCCAACTCATCCAATATTTTATTTCTATTCAGGTCATATTAGTCAGTTGGGCAAAAGCAGCCATGTTTATTTATCTTATTAGTTTATTTTGGTCAAGTAGCAAATTATGACGGAATTACAATAATTCCTCTATTTATGTCTCTCTCTCACAATTACACACAGACTTGACATTTGACATGTGGGCTCACTGCGGTAGAAATATTAACACGTCCACAGTGTCCCCGCTGCTTTCCCGGAGGAGCGTAAGTGGCCCCCAATATTCTGGGTTCTATGTTTTTCCCTGATTCCTCCCGTTTAGTGTTTTATTTGTGGTATTACGTCCACGTGCAAATAGGTACAAAGAGCCACATATGGTATGACGATGCGCGGTCTGGCTGAACACACAGGTGCGGGCGGGTGCCAGGGCTCTTGTCACAGCTGGCGGACTTCACCTGGCTGGTCCAGGGAGGGCAGCAGGGGCCCAGGCTCCCGGAGCCCCGGGGATGTTTCCTCCTCTCCAGGATTTTCCGGGATGGCGGGGGGGGGGGGGGGGGGGGGGGTCAGTCTCATTAACTCAGGAGATGTTTCGTAGTTGGGGTTCAGAGCCTCGGTTCCAGCGGAAGACCTACAGGAATCTGTGTGAGGGCACCCGCGGTACCGTTGTTGTCTTGTTATCACGGCTGCCTGAGCCGGAGGGCGGAGGGCAAGGCCCGTCCCCCACTCAGGAGGTGGAAGGGGACCCCCGACTGCAGTAGAACCTTCTGGTGGGAACGACTGAGCGTGCTTCCTGTGGTCACGCTTCTCTCTTCCACAGCACAATGCCAGGTGACAGGTGGCAGTGACTGTCCCAGACTCGGCAGAGCCGGGATCCCCAGGGGAGAGGCGGGGCCAGAGGCAGGACCTGAGACAGAGGCAGGTGAGGGCCAAGGCTGGTCAGGGGCACGTGGGTCCTACCGGCGGGAAACAGCTCACACTGTAGGGCCCAAACTGCCAAGTGGTGGGTATGGGGAGCCCAGGCCTCACGGAAGTCGTAGAAGGAGTGGGGGCAAGCAAGAGGCGTGCGCGGGGCCCAGAAACACAGGGGCTGAGACCACCCCAGCCTCACCAGGGTCCCCTCCAGGCCGCCTCTCGGGGGAAGAGTCCGGACATGCCAGTCTGTAATCTGAGGGGGCGGACAGGGAGGCCACGTGGCGGGGAGCGGACCCTCGTCACCAGACCACGGTGAGTGGGCTCTGGGCTTCAGGGCTGCTTCTCTGCTGTCCGTTTTCTGTTAGCGTCCCCTGTCCGGGCTTCCAGTCCCCCATGTGTAACAACGTCTCCGCTGCTTGACCGCCAGCTTAGCAGAACCCACTGTGCTTTCTGATGGTAGCCCATACTCCTCAGAGCCACCGAGAAGGTCACTGCTCCTGCTCCTGCAAAAGAGGAGATTACGAGCCACTTTCCATGCTGGCTTATTAGGCAACGGTTTTTAAAATCCCAGCTGCAAACAGAGGTAGTCGTCATTATGCAAGGCACCTTCTTTGTAATCACTTAAGATTTTATGCATTTGCAGGTCTGACTATTGCTAAATCAAGGGAGAAATAAGCAAGAAGAATTTTTCTGTACGCACATGTAAGTGCTCATACATTTTAAATCCTGTTCAGTCAAGCGTTGAGTCCTAGTGATACAGTGCTAATAATGCAGATTTCAACGTGCTTTCCCCAAATTTGGTATTAGCCTGCCATGTTGCAGCTCAGTCAGTTTCTTCGCATAAGCATTCAGGGAGCGTTTTACTACGCGGCCGCCCATTTTCCCATTTCAAGCTAAGCATCCAAAGCCTGATTGCATTTGGCAACTTTGATTTCCCCGCTCTTACATGTCATGGTCCTGAGTATCAAATGGTGTTACCATTTCTGTTTCGATCATCAAAGATGATTTAGCAAAATCACAAGGAAAAGGCAGGCCTGTTGTACCTGTTCCTCCCGTCGTCTTCCTTGCTGACGCTCCTTCATCGCTGCCCTCGGGTCCGGAGGACTCCTTTAGCTGTTCTTGAGGAGTAGGTCCGGAAGTGACCAAGTGTTTTAGATTTTCTTTTCTTTTTTTTTTAATTTTTTTTTCAACATTTATTTATTTTTGGGACAGAGAGAGACAGAGCATGAGTGGGGGAGGGGCAGAGAGAGAGGGAGACACAGAATCGGAAACAGGCTCCAGGCTCCGAGCCATCAGCCCAGAGCCTGACGCGGGGCTCGAACTCACAGACCGCGAGATCGTGACCTGGCTCAAGTCGGACGCTTAACCGACTGCGCCACCCAGGCGCCCCTAGTTTTTCTTCTTTTGAGAACGTCTCTAGTTCCCCTTCACTCCTCAAAGGTAGCTTCACGGAGGACATAGAATTTGTGGCCGACAGCTCTCTTCTTCCAGCATCTGGACCGTGTCATGCTGCTTCCTTCTGGCCTCGGGTTTCAGATGAGAAATGCGCCAGCGTTCGAACTGGTGTTCCTGTATTGGTACTTTGTGATCTCTCTCTGGCTGCTTTCAACACTTTTTCTTGGTCTTTAGTTTCCTGATGATGCATCTTCGATGAGGTTTTTTTTTTTTTTTTTTTTTTGGTGGAGGGGGTCCTATCCTAAGGTAAACTGTACTTGCATCTGTAGGTTTACGCATTTTCCCAAATTTTGCAAGCTTCTAGCCAGTGTTGCTTTGAATGTGCTTTCAGCTACCCCCTTTTCCCCTTTCCTTCTGGGACTCCGATGACATGAATGTTGGATGTCTTGTTATGGTCCCACAATCCCTGAAACTGTGTGGGTTTCTATTTTCTCTTTGTTGTTGAGATGGTGTAAATTCTACTGATCTGTCCTCAGGTTTGCTGATTCTATCTTTTGTCATTTCTACTGCACTAGGAACCTGTCCCGTGAGTTTTCTATTTCAGTTACTGTATTTTTTCAGTTCTATTGTCATCCTTTACTTACTACGAATCCTTTTTAGGTAAAAAGCACCCCACAGCATTTATTGTCATCGGGTAATAACATAAAGGTAATCAAAACAATCTCAACAAATGTTTTAGAACTATCCTCCCAAAGAAGGGCATCTAAAAAAACAAACTACTTGGCCTTCTCAAGAATGTCTCACTTCACTGATCATTTCTAGTTGGAGAGACTTTGGAGCAGGGTAATATTATCCCTGTTTAGCATGATTTGACCCAGCTGTTTTCTTGACTTTTAGAATGAATCTCTTCTGCATCATCTGGGGTCATGTTCTCGTCAAAACCTAAGATACACGGGAGCGTGGGTGGCTCAGTCAGTTAAGCACCTGACTCTTGATCTCAGCTCAGGTCCTGATCTCACAGTTTGTGAGTTTGAGGCCCACATCGGGCTCTGTGCTGTCAGTGCAGAGGCTGTTTGAGACTCTCTTTCTCCCTCTTTCTCTGCGCCTCCTTTGCTTGTGCTCTCTCTTTAAAAAAAAAATCCATTAGAAAATAAAAAAAATACATTAAAAATAATAATTTTCAGAGATTTTGAGGAGCTATTTTGCTCTACTTCCTGTCTGGTCCTGATGGGGCTCCCACAGGTTCCTGCTGGTGCTTCCTGAGCGGGTGGAGGGAACTTCCCCAGGCCAAGCCGCCTGGTGCCTTTAGAGGCCTAGAATGATTCTGGGGCCAGATGGTGGATTCCTCCTTGCTCGAGCCCTGGGCCACCCTATCTCTCTAGCTGGGGGAGGGCGTATGTCCCCTGGCTTCTTCTTGTCAGTGGGTCAGCACTCTGCTGGTGCTGCTGGGTCACCTGCTTTCGGTGGTGGGCAGGACTCCTGTTTGATGTGGGGGAGGGGTGAGCCTACCTGGGCCACCTTCTGTTCAAGGTGGTGGGTCGGGGGATGCCTGGCGGGGGCTGGAGTTGGGAAGATGTCCCGTTGCTCTGGGTCCTTGGGTCCTCCCTCCCCTTTCCACCTTCCAGAGTCTCCACCTTGGGTCTCTCTAACCTCATCTGCTCAACCTATTTTAATTTTCTATCTAGCACTCATCAGTCATTACCTAATATTTTCATTAATTGATTAAAATCATTAATTACGTTTGTGTCTCTCCTAAAGTGCACGCATAGGACAGCTGAGGCCTGTAAGTAACTCTCCGCGTTTATGTGAGGGTTCATTGACAAATTCTGTGTAAGTAATCTCAGTTCCTCGAATAGTGCTGAGCCCAGAGGACTTCAACACTGGTGCTTTAAGGAACGGAAGCCGAGAGGCCCTCAGGACACTTCCTTGCCCAAGCCAGGTCTCGCTCGCCCCGCGTGGCGCGTGGAGGCCGCTATCAACATCCCAGGCCCGGGTGGCCAGCGTGAGCTTGAGTCTCCTCTCCCTTGCGATCGTTAACACAGGAAGAACGTCCTGTTTTGACTCCATAAAATGCAACCGAGTAGAGTAGAGCCGGGTGTGGGCGTGTCTGCGAGATTCACCCCTGCCTCAGCTTGGAGGTGCAGAACCAGGGCGAGTCTGGGCTGCTGGCCGCGTTCACGCTGACGGCTGCCGTCATCTCGCTGGATTCCTTGGGTTTCGGGGAAGCAGGAAGAAGCTCTCTGCCACGTCCCCATGGCACTCCAACGAACCGATTCCTGTCCCTCCCCCGTGGCTGATGACCTGGCCGAGCAGTAGCACAGTTGTGAGAGCTGCTAATCTAATGATTTTCTCGATCTGTTTTTGGGAAGAGGAAAACCACGCTGAATAAACCATTGCCAGCCGGCAGGGGCCCTGCACCTCCTCCGGGGTGTCCTTGAACAATACCGAATTCCTGTTTTAGCCTGTGTGCCTAGCACAAGCCTATTTATTCTTGCCAATGAGAAGGAAGTAGAAGATTGGGATTTTTACAGTGTTTGACATTATGTGTTATAAGCCAACCGGTCTAAGTATTTACAGAGGTCAAGGATATTCACCGCCTCCGCCTGCCACACGCCAGTCTACTATTTAATATTGTAACACGCCTAAAACGGATTAGCCACATTTGAAATTAATTAAAAGAGAACATTCATGATTTCAGAATAAAGCTTATCCCTGCTAATTTTGAAAATTAATCTGATTTATTCCCCTTGGATTTCTAATGCTTCTGAAACCAATCTTTCAGGAAAAGGATAGCGTATGGTTCCTTTTCAGTGACCTGACTACAGAAAGGGGTTGTGTGACTTTCACAAATAATTCCTTATTTAATGCTACATGTTTACTTGCATGCTTTTTCTTATGAATGGTATTCAGATAACAGATGAAATCCCATTCCCAGGCGCAGGCCAGGAGCTAAGCGACACAGAGATCACTGGAAGAGGAACTGAGTGCAGCCTGAGGGGAATTAGCCTCCTCGGCTGTATTAATAAAGGCTGCTGACTCAGGAGCTTGGGCATTAGAACTGGGTCCGAAGATAAATCGCAGCATCCCAGCCTCCCCTGGGATCTTCAAGACCCACACGCGCGCACACACATGCACACGCGTGCACGCGCACTTACCCAAAGGCCGCAGGCTGGGTAAGATTTGAGGCCCGAGACTTTAACTTTTAAAACAGCCAAATGAACAAATCAAACCCCATATTTTAATGAACCAAGCGACGGGAGAGAAGGCGAAGAGAGGGGCAACCCCCCAGCGAACGTAGACCGTGTAGACACTATTTAGCCCAAACGCTTACTCCATCCTCAACCCACATGAAATTATTATCTTCCGCACTGCGACCGTGGCTCTGTGGTCTCCAACAATATAAACCAACATACTACAGGCAACATACGCAGCTCAACACAGCACAACAGAACACATCACAACACGACACTGCCCGGCCCGTGAGGCCACATAAAGTAACACGACGTTAGATGCGACAGTGTCCCCAGGGAGGCCTCTGCCACCTGCCTTCTCCAAGCTCGTCTTGGACACCGAGGCTTCACCTGGAGCCACCCACAAAGCCTTTATGTTGGAAAAAATCACAACAAAACAGCCTCAGGGGGCGTAATAGAGCCGTACAATTTTGATAATGTGGGCAATAAACATTAGAGGCAGGCCGGACAACGGTGCACAGAAGTGTTTTTCCAGATCAGCAGTTTTTCACAATAAACATTTATCAAGACAGCCAACGCAAATGAAAACACCTACGTCTCCTTGGAATACCAAAGCGTGTTCTGGGAGCATCTGAATTCATAAATTGCGGGATGACTGTTTTCCACAGGCCGGCCTAATATAACTCACACAGATATCATTCCTTACCCCTGAGAACACCCTCGCAGCATGCATTATGGGCCTGTCAGGCTGGATTTATATGACGGAGGATTCTGGAGGAGGCGTTATTGATGGCAAATGGACGATCCACCTGACATTGGCAATCGGAAGTATTTCTGAAAAACCCTTTTTTCGCTTGAAAGGGCTATAAATCTAAAAATAATTTTGAATTCACAAGCAATCCTTTTATGCAATAAGT